TATTTGAATTAGGAAAGGGAAGGGAAACAACAGAATGGTGAGACAAAGGACAAGGGGGAACCAATGCAACAAACAATATGTTAAAAGTGATCTGTACAACTTGTGGGGGGTTGGAGAGTGAGGGGGCGTATGAGAAAAATGAGGGAAGGGGAAATAAGTTTGACAAGAAATACACTTATTACCTTACTTATGTAACTATAACCCCTCCTTCTGTACATCACCTTGACAATAAAAAAGAGGATAAAATCATGTCTCATACAGATCAAATATTAGGATCTTAAAACATTTTTAATGAGTTAGAAAGGTCTCCCAATCACTTCAAAGGAGATCCTTTAGGACAATGTTGAAATGAATTTGCTAAGGTCAGAGTGACTTGTTCCACAAGAGCATTTCCACTAGATGAAATTCTGTTGTTTTGGCATGCCTACAAAGAGTAATTATTTGCCTTACTAACATTATTCTTTTATAAGTTAACTTCTGTCTATGCAACCTCCTCAGACAATGATGGGCTCATATTATCCAGATGCACTAAATTTGCCTTTCTTACCTCCTCCTTACGGTGATAATGGAAATAGTTTGTTCTGTCACTACCCTGTGAGGTCTAGCATGAGACTCGGAAGGAGTTTTGATTGACATTTCTATAACAAATATATTTTCATCTATTTATGTTTCTCAGTATTATAGTCACAAAAACATGCATCAAGTTAAGGATCATGTTGACTCACTTTATTGCTATGTATACCTATCAATACATGCATAAAATAATGAGAAGATAAAAGGACTCAAAAGAGATGAAATTGTAGTTAAAACTACTTTCTAGCTATCAACATATGTAATGTTTCTGTTCCTTTGATGTCACATCCCGAGATAATGGCCTCAAGAGAGTTTTTTTTTTAATATCTTGACCTTTCAATTAAAATGAAAACGTAAATAGGTGTTTTGATACAGACAAGTATGACAGGATGACAAGTAAAAGTCATAAACTACACAAATTCCAGGACATCCCTGTTAGAGTGTGAAGACTGAAAACTAACCTTTAAGGAGAAAATAGGATCATGCAGAATTTGTGGCTAATGGGCAGTCATGACAATTGAATAATGGTGATATCATCAAAAGCATTTCAAAGAGCAATACAATCATATTGTTTTTAACATGTCAATATTTACAAAGTGCTGGAGTTACAGTCTTCATACCTAGTTATATTTTGGCAAAAGTTTTTATCTGACAGGCTACAGAAATGTGCAAGAGGGTTTTATAAAATTCCCTTAGGTTGCTGGGGACCAGTGGTTCATGCCGTAATCTTAGCTATTCAAGAAGCTGAGCTCTAAAGAGCTCCATGCAAAGACAGCTGACACATAAAAATCTTTGAGAATGTATGTCTAATTAATGAGCAAAAAACTCCAAAACAACCACCAACAGAGTGGAGGCATGGCTCAAGTGGTAAAGTGCCAGCTGTGAATAAGGCCTGTACCAGCATCACACACACACACACACACACACACACACACACACACACACACACACACACACACACACACACACCCCTTTTAAGCCACATAGAGGAAAAATTTAAAAATTTTAGTAGATTCATGACCCACTTGCCTCAGGCTCTAAGGTCTTAGGATTTCTTTTTTTTAGTTTTATTTTATTGTAAAGATGCCGTACAGAGGGCTTACAGTTACATGAGTAAGGTAATGAGTACATTTCTTGTGCAGCATTGTTACCTTCTCCTTTGTTTTTCTCCTATCCCTTCCCTTCCCCACCTCCTCCACTCCTCCCACACACACCCCGCCCCACCCCAAAGTTGTAGAGTTCATTTCCAACATAGTGTCTTGCGAGTCTCATTGTTGCAATGGGTCATCCTGTGTCCTTGTTTCAGCATTTTGTTATTTCCCTTCCTCTCCCCAAATTAGATATATACAATGCAGGGCATCAGGATCAAATACAGTGACAACAGGGGATATACCATAGGGGGAAGAACATACAAAAGAAACAAAAAAATCACAAAAACAACAACAGAGAAAAACCTGTGTCCATGTCTAGGGGTTCATTTGCCCAAATGATCACAAACAAGGCCATACTAAAGCTACCAGCACAACTATGTTTATTGCAGCATTATTTACCATAGCTAAGATATGGAACCAACCCAGATGCCCCTCAGTGGATGAATGGATCAAGAAAATGTGGTATATATACACAATGGAATTCTATGCCTCCATCAGAAAGAACAACACTACCTCATTTGTTATGAAATAGAAAGACTTGGAAAAAATCATACTAAATGAAGTAAGCCAGACCCAAAGACATATAGGTCCCATGGTTTCCCTTATTTGCAATAATTAGTATATGTCTAGGATAATCTTATCAGATGAACAGAAAAGCTCAAAAACTATATATGACCATATAAGATGAATCTTAGGATTTCAGAATGCATCGCTACACCTGACCCTGCCTCTGTTTTCTGGCCAAAAAAATCAAAGCACAGTTAAAGTGGAAAATGCTTCTTCATTTAGAACTGGTAGATGGATCTATTTCTTGACTCACATAGTGCTAGTGACTCTTTGTTCTGCTGGAATTAGTGAAGGGATTAAAACATTACAAACTAAAGATGCTGATAGCTGTCACATCTCTCAAAAGGGGATGATGATGACATTATTTTTCTTTTTTCATAGTTAGGTCTTCATTTACTTATTTTTCTCACCTTTGGATGAACACTCTGTATGGCACTGTGTGTGTGCGCGCGCGCACGTGTGTGTGTGTGTGTGAATAACCAAACAGATAGCACTATTTACATCTCTAAATGTTTATCTTCCACCAAGTTTGGGGAAAATCTTAAGCTATAGTTTTCTTCAGAGATGTTTTCTACCTCAGTCTCTTTCTCCTCTCATGGGTTCTCAGTATCTTTTAACATGAGACAATTTTGTATGGCCCCATAGGTCTTTTAGATTTTTTCAATTCTTCCAATTTTTTTAATTTTTAAATTTTCACTCTCCAATTAGATAATATCTATGCTATTAAGTCTCTAGACATCTTCTTCTGTTACCCTCATTCTGCTATTGGACCCATCCAGTGCACTTTTTATTTATTAAATTTATTTATGAATTAAATGTACTAAATATTACTTAATATTTATTTGATTTTTTTAGTTTTAGAGTTTATACAGTTTCCATGTCTCTGCTAAGAATTTCTGCCTTTTCATTCATTTCAAGAGGTTTTCACTTCATTTCCTCTACCACAGTTAAAATAGTTTCTCTAAAATTGGTAATTCTGTCATCTGTCATCTTGGAGTTGGCGTTTATTTGTTGATGGCTTTTTCTCTTGAGGACTGATCATGTTTCTGCAGTCTCTCTCATGCCAAATAGTTTTTGATTGAACATTGGACAATTTGAGTACTATATTGTGAGACTTGGAGTCCTTTGGAAAACGCTGAGGCTTTTTTTTTGTTTTGTTTTGTTCTGGCAGGGAGTCGGCACAGTGGTACATTCTGTACACAGTGATTCCAACATCGTTTTAATCATCCCCCCATTCCTCTACTGCTGTGGGGCCCAGGCCTGCACTAGTTACAGGTTATTTTGGGACCTGAGCAGTAGATCACATCATTGAGCTCCCAAAGCCTTTGAAATGGTCCCACACACTCACAGCTCAGCAGTGAGCCTGAGACTCCCACAGAATGAGGGCATCCCTTCTTCAGCTCTCTTTTCTGTCATTCTTCCCAGACTCTCCTGCCTCTATGAGCCCTTTGCTGTGTTTTCCTGAATAGATATGATTGGATGTCTAAGTGTGGTCATACATACCTTTAAAGGTGTACATGACTTATTATTGAGTTGTAAGGACTCTTCCTGTATGCTGGATACAGGAGAGCAATATATTTACCCGATAAGGAGACAAAAGACCCACGTTCTGTAGTATCCTGGCTAGCAAGGTCTCCATGGTTCTTCTTCTTCTTCTTCTTCTTCTTCTTCTTTTTTTTTTTTTTTTTTACTGTCTGTACCCAGTCCACGCAAGAGCAAATCTAAAGAGTGAGGGCACAGAAATCAAAAGACCTTAGCCAACAGAATAGTACTTAGAAAGGGCCATTGAAGTGGGTAGAGACAACTCATTTTTGGTGAATGGCCCCTGCCCCACATATAACTAGGAAAGGTCCCACTTGCATGACAGAGGAATAGGATCACGATTTAACCTGATTCTATTAGAGTCTGTCATTTTGTGGCTCTGTCCTTCTTTAGCTCCACCACCCTAAGTTTTGTGCTACCATCTTAAAATACTTGAGATAAACGACTTACAAGGAAGAAAGGTTTCTTTTGGTTCAGAGGTCCATGACCAGGCCATGGTCACTTGACCCTGCAGCTTTGGGCTCAGGACTGTGATACAGAATATCTGAACAGGTCAAATGACACAGGAGGTCTGTTCTCCTCATGGTGGCAGGAAAGCAAAGAGACAGGAAGGGGCTGAGGTCCAGGTATCCATTCAAGGACATGCCCACCATGACCCAGATTCTTTCTGCTAGGTCCTACCATGGGCTGGGGTCAAGCCTTCAACACCAGGCTTTTGCAGGGTAAATTCCAGATCCAAACTCTAGCAGTGGCTTGTGTTTGCAACTTGGTAAGAAGCTGGCTCCAGAAATGTAAGCCTTCTAGGAGAGTGAGTGAGAAGTGTGGAGGCGGGCTCCTTGGCAACATGAATCTGTCTCTTGGTGAAAGAACTCCCTGCTTGACTGAGCCTCGGCTGCTGGCATCCCCTCCTGCTCCAGCTGAACAGGAAATGTATTTCACTCAGCCCCAGCCTCCCAAATGTGCCTAGTGGACAGTGGCAAGATGTGCCTGAATGGTCAGAAGAAACAAACATTGAATGGGCTGGCCAGTGGACAGATGAATAAATACTATGGTGGCCAAATTCTGCCATACATACATTATCCTAATTAGAAATAGTGACTCACACACACCCTCTCTCAGTGATTGGTCATTTCCTGGGAAAAGAAAGAAAGAAAGTCATTGACAAACTCACAGCAAAGAGAATTTAATAAGACAGTCCAGTTTGATAGTAGCTGAAGAAATAGTTTTGGAATATTTTTGGTGCCCTTTTAGGGAAATTAGTTCCCCACCCCCACCCCCAGAGAGCTTTCTTATAAACTAGTTGCCTGTCCTCACCATGAGGAAAGATTTGAAAGTCTTCACATTCCTGCCACTTCACATCATCTACTTCCTATTTGTTCACAGGCAGATGATTTGCAGAATCCCTGGGTATCAAGGTATCATTTCTTCATCCTTGACCTAGTGAAGACAAGAAGAAAGCAGCAATCAGGAAATCTGAACCACCTCACTCTTGCCAATGTTATCAAAGTGGCATTCTCCCGTAGTTGCTTTATGAACTTACTGTGAAGGATTTATAATTGTATTTATAGTTGTTGTTTTCATGTGAAATCCTAATGGGAAAAAAGGAAGCATTCACGTTAGAGGAAGCAAGGATGCTCTTGTAATCATGGGAGGAGGCCATTGCGGTTCTGAGTGGGAAAAACTAACCTAGCTTCCACTTTGAAAATTCTCCTATTTACAAAAAAAAAAAAAATCTGGCTGGTAGCCTGACCTGGGATTGTGCCAGAAAGTAGGCAGACAAGGAAAAGGCAGTGAGTGGAAGCCAATTAATTAGTCAATCAAAAAGTATTTATAGAAGTCTCTAGGTATATGGAAGTGTGCTGTCCTCAGTGGGGGGATGCTTGGAAGAAGGAGATATGACCCTAGATCCTGGAAAGCTTGTAAGTCAGCTCCTTTGGAAGTAAAGCCTACATTTGCTAACAGAAAGGAAGGCACAGGATGTGTTTTAATTGGAAAATGAGCCTTACAGATGCTGAGAATGTAATCCAGACAACTAGGCTGTTATTCTGGTTTATCACAATTTTGATCAGTGGCCTGGAGGTGTCAAATATTCAATTTAGCTCTAAGAACTGTTTTTTATAACTGACCAGACTGAACTAGGTGACTGCTTACCACATCCTTCCCAACTGAGCAGGAGCTTCTTTGGGGGGAGGGATAAAGAAGGTGTTTTTCTAAAAATAGTCCAACTGAGATTTTGCTTATATCCTTTCTGGATACCATTAAAAAAACAAAAAGGAGTCAGCTGGGTGCTGGTGGCTCCTGACTGTAATCCTAGCTACTCAGGAGGCTGAGATCTGAGAGTTGTAGTTCAAAGTCTGTGAGACTCTTTATCTCCAACTAACCACTAAAAAGAGGTGGGGCTGTGGCACACGTGGTAGAGTGCTAGCCTTGCTCAAAAAAAAAAAAAAAAAAGCATAGGAGTCATTGTAAAAATGTTTACGAAGACAATAGTTGATTTTTAAAAGCAAATTACATAGTAAAACATTCATTTTATAGTAATAAAGACTTAGGAACTTGTGGTTAGAAATGTTGGCAAGAAAAGATGTTATAGGAAATGGTCAGGGGAAATTTCAAACTTCATTAAACCTATAGGTTATTGCTTCCAATACTGCATTTTTAAGGTAAATTTACATATTTTTCATGTCCTAAAAATAACTATGGCAAAAATCTATTTGTCAGAGGATTGAATAGAAATAAGCTTGAATTCAAGGTTTTCAGTATGTCTCAGTATGGAATACTTCTCAACTTTCAGGTTGGTGTCACATAGGTAGCGCATAAGCATGCTAATGTGCGGAAGTGATGTAAGGTTTGTTAGTCTGTCCACAATTTTAAAGCTTAATTGTTTTCTGATTTTTAAGACATAAGTCTGTAATGGATTTAAACGTCTTATTTGTAGTATAATGAAATGTTTACAGAAAGATAACTTTTTCATTAAAATATTTATTTATTTTCAGTCATGGGGCTTGAACTCTGGGCTTTGGCATTGTCCTTGTGCTCTTCAGCTCAAGACAAGTGCTCCTACCACTTGAGCCACAGCACCACTTCCGGTTTTCTAGTGATTTGTTGGAGATAAGAGTCTCACAAAGTTTCCTGCCCTGGCTGGCTTTGAACCCTGATCCTCAGATCTCAGCCTCCTGAGTAGCTAGTATTACAGGCATGAGCCACAGGCGCTTGGCTTCTTTAAAATATTTTTTAGGAAAAAAAAAAAAGAAATGTTGACAAGATAAGTAAATGGACAGGAGAAAAACACTTTAAAACAATGAGTCTTTTCCAGTGACCAGACTTTCTTGATGTGTGCTTACCATCTCAAATACTGTAACTATTGCTACTGAAAGCCAAGTGACATGGAATAGCTTTCTACCACTAGCCTACCTATTTACTACAACTGTTGCACACTTGAGTTGTCTTTTATACTTCACCAAAAGGCTGTATATAGATAGTAACATCGCAGAGCAAAACAAAATTCAACCTTTATCCATCAGTCCCCCCACTTAATAAGAGCGAGGTACAAATCCAGGTGTAGGTGATTGCAAAGCCATGGCCTCTCTGTACTACACCAGATTAAGATGAGTCTAATCTCTAGGACCTTAAAAAGTGTCCTTTTTTTGCAGGGTGAGGCAGGGAGAATGGTTGTGAAAAAGATAGAAATGATGTCTCCTTTAGTGCTTTACATCTTCTGTTGTGGGCATAACCCTGGACGTTGGACACTACTATTGGGCACTAACTATCTGTACTTAGTGAATGCATTTTACAAAGCAAGCAATGAGCCCAGGCACTAGTGGCTCACACTGAGTACAGGGGACTGTGATCTGAGGAACACAGTGCAAGCTAGCTTAAACAGGAAAGTCTATGAAACTCTTTTCTCCAATTAAGCATCAGAAAACTGCAAGTGACGCTGTGGCTCAAAGTGGCAGAGTGCTAGCCTTGAGCGGAAAAAGCTTAGGGGACAACACCCAGGCCCCAAGTTCAAGCCCTACAACCACCAACAACAACAAAAAGAGCAATGAAGTAAACAATTCTAAAACAAAAATAACCATATTTTCTCCCAGGAAATTATGTTCTTGATTCCAAGACGCCTTTCTTATTAAAGACAGTAGATGAGAGAGCATTATTGACTATTTCCTTTTCTAAATGTATGAAATATCTTAAAAAGAATAGGTTTATAGACCCTGCCAGAGACAAAAAAGGCTAGTCTTGTCTTTCCTACGTCTTTTTTACATCTCTTGAAAATCATTTATAAAGAAAAAAGATGGACAACAATGCATGTGATCATAAGGTTCAAACACTGGAACACAGCTGGGCATAGAAGTACATGCCTGTAATCTACAGCATGCAGGGAGCTAGGGTAAGAGATCAAAACCAAGCCTAGTCTATATAGCTAGGGGGAAAAAAGCCAAAACTTTCTTCAGATAAGAAAACATAGGTAACACAAAAGGATCAAGAAGCAGAATTGCTTTGGGCTTCTTACCATCAAAACAGGAAGTTCAAAGGACTGTGGCCTCAGTACCTTTACACTTGTGAGGAAAACTTCCAGCCTGGAATTCTGTATTCAGCCAAACTTCCAATCAAGTGTGAGAACATAATAAAGGGAGTTTCAGATTGCAGGTCAAATAAATTGACTTTTCCTGAACTTTTTTTTCTCCCCCAAAGAAGATTCTCTTTCCAGAGTCCAGGAAAACAGGTGACATAACAGGAGAAGGAGGAAAGGAAATTCAGGTTTGGAGGAGTGGCTCATGTGGCAGTACACCTGCCTTGGAAACACAAGGACGTCAGTTCAAATCCCAATGCCTCCAAAAAGAGAGGAAAAGAGATGTAGGGGGAAGGAAGGAGAGAAAGAGAAGTCCCTAGAATGAAGGTGACCATAAATTCCAGATCACAGAGGAGCAGCAGACCCAGGAGTCATGGTGTAGATGGGAGAAAAAAAATCTTCTGATAAAATACATCTGAAAAGAAACACTAATAGAATTCCAAACTCCTTTGGCTCTATTGAATCGAGATTCACACAATGAGAGGAAGAATTTGAAGCTGAGTCATTTTTAAGTACATAGAGAATTGAGGAGCTGAGCATAATAGCTTTAGGAAAACAGGTATTGCAAGAGAAATGGCAAATCATCAGTATGTCTCATGACTCAGATGTGAGTACTCCTAATTACGTGAGCCTTGAATATCCATCCCATAAATTAGAAGTCTATAGGAAAGAAGGAAGGAACAGAAAGGAGAGCTCAGATCTGAGGTGGTGATGATTGGAAAGCAAACAATTTACCCTCACCTTTGAGTGGGAAGTTGGTGCATAATGCCAGCAATGGACGAAGAATAAGACACAAAGGTGTGCTGTTTGGAGATAAGGCGGGGATTACCAAAAGAGACAGCTAAAGAAGCTGAAAATGGTTGAGTCATTTGGGGAGATTGAATTTAGGAGCTGATCTTTGCTTAGATGAGGGACAGTGCCCAGGTCCTGAGTTAAAGCCAAAAGAGAGGGAGAGGCTAGGTCGGTGCCAAAAACTAAAAGAAAGAATATTCAATGTTTTTAACATGAAAAAAATAGTAACTTTAAGAAACTGTGTTTAACCTGATTTAAGCATAATAGATACATGTCTAAATACCATGTGACACCCCATTATTGTGTATAATTTTTTTTTGTTGGTCTTGGAGCTTGAACTGTGGGCCTAGGCACTGTCCCTGAGCTCTTCAGCGAAAGGCTAGCACTCTACCACTTTGAACCACCACTTCTGGTTTTCTGGTGGTTAACTGGAGATAGTCTCACGAACTTTCCTGCCCAGGCTGGCTTCAAACCATGATCCTCAGATCTCCAACAAAAACAAACTGGCAAGTGGAACTGTGACACAAAGTGGTTGGGGCTAGCTTTGAGCAAGAGAGTCCAGGGACAGCGCCCAGGTCCTGAGTTCAAGCCCCATAACTGATAAAAACAAAATAAAATTAAAAAAAAAGTAGAGTAGCTACTACTAAAGGGCTGGTAAGGGAAGGATGAGGGGGAGATAGAGGGAGATTGGATGGGGACTGGGGACAGAGGGGTGGGAGTTAGATACCAAGAATTAGCACAGAAGAGAAGGATACACAGCCTCTAAATGCAAAGAGACCATAAATGTATAAAGCAATGGAAGTGCTAGTCATTCAGAATTGTCATTACACACCCTTGAGGGATCACATTATATCCTCTGAATATGTACTATTATTATAGATCAATTCAAAAGATAAACTAGCGCCAAGCACAGTGGTTCATATCTGTAATTCTAGCCACTCCAAAGTCTGTGATCTGAGGACTGAAGTTCAAAGCACAGCCCAGGCAGAAAAGTCTGTGAGATTCTTATCTCCAGTTAACCCCCAGAAAGCCAGAAGTGAAGTTGTGGTTCAAGTGATTGAGTGCTAGTTTTGAGCAA